GGTTAGAAAAGAGATAATGGAATGAAAATTTTTTTCATCGTGAAGTGAATGATTATAATATATATAATAGGAAAATTATAGAGAAGTTACAACAACAATAACTTAACCCTCAAAATACCGTTCAAAATTTCACTTTTGTTAAAATTTTTGATTTTGGCTCTCATTCCACTAGAAAGCACTATATTAATACATAATGTGACCAACTATTTCATAGCTCAAAGAAGTACAGGCTAGGTTGGATTAAGTTAACGCCGCGAGTTGATTATAAATTTTCGAATCCGGCTAATTTCGATCCCTGAGAGCTCAGTGTTTGTTCAGAATTGCGAGCAAAAATGCTTCCATCTTAGTCTCGCGAAGGTTGGACAGTCTAAAGGAAAGTGTGGAGATTCAGTTCATCTTCCTCTTGACAGCTGACACAAATTGATCAGTCGAAATTCTTAGTCTCACCGCATGAATACCAACTGCACAATGGCCTGTCAGAACACCCTAGCCCTTGAGAGGTAACGTGTTTTAAAGTGCCCTATAAAACATTTGCTGTAGCAGAGAAAAGTTTTCTTTCCGGTTTACCTGAGCCTAATAGCAGCTCGTGCTGCGACAATTCTGTCTGCAATATCCTCAGGCGCTGAGTTCAACATATTTGTGTTAAGCGCCAGTGTAGGTTCCTAATGCGCCGCTAATTCCTGTTTTACAAGTGTAGCCTTCTCTAGTGAGTACCACCAGACAAGGGCTCCTTGAAACAATATAGGCTTAAATCTGGTTTGCTTGTGACGAACTTTTGTAGTGCCGGGGTAAGCTAAGTCCGTCCAGGGTTCCTGAAATTGGAATTCCTACTTCTCTCCTTCAAAATGATAAATCTTCAATTTCAATCCATTTACTCTTTATTATTAAAATGTCTATTAAGAATTCCTATCAAGAACGCTTAAAGGCAGTGGGAGTGAATATCCCTCCACTAACCTTACCTGTCGGCGGGAGTGGTAACCTCCGCCGAATATAAGACTAAACGCAAAT